CTCATCCCTATGCATCTTTTTGAGAGATCAGGAGCACACATCCACCACATGTCAGGTCCAAACGGTAGAGATGGCCCTACAAGCCCTGCATTAAATAAAATAATAAAATATTCTATGAGTTCAAGAGCTGGGGTTAAAAAAAAAAAAGCGACAACAAAAACAAAACTATCAGTGAGGATGGTGGTTAGCCCGGGCTGCCCCTCAGCAGATTATCGGTTGAGAAGGCATGTGAGGGAACCCAACACAGTACAACAAATGTTCCACATCTCCACCTCTATAGGTACGAGGGGCGCACAGGTATATTCTTTGAGCTATACTTGGAAGTTCTCTATACCTGTTTTATTCTATTTATATAATAGCAAAATTCAAGGACAAACTTTTTTAAATAGAAGAAAATAATAGAAAAGTAAGACAATGGAATTCCCTTTCACTGTCTTCTCCAAGCTGTCCACAGATAAAAGATCTTATCAAGAGTATCTGGGGGAATTCCTCTATCATTCCTGAATTGCATGGGCAAGCCAATATTGTACATTTAAAGCACTGATCTGGAAATTCTATCACTCTTTCTCTAGGCTTGGACAATTAAGTAAAACTTGATTCTCTTCCCTCATAAGGGGTGAGCCTATAAATTTCCTTTAGTACCTCAAAACCCAGAGTGGCCACACAAAGATATCTGATCCCAAGTTTCTAGCCACACCTGTTGGAAACATGATTACCGGGACCACTGGGAAACACCTGTCCCAGTTTGTAGTGCTGCAGAAGACAGCTACTTCAATTAGACCTGTTGTCTAAGCACTTTATATTCTCTAGCACCACAAGAAAGCAATAATATATGTGGCATTTGCATTGTTTTCTGCTTGCTTCACTTAAAACGTAAGCCCTGACGTCTTTCTCTTTCTCATTTTTAATACATAATATTCTCTGAGCAGCACAAAGCCAGAATTATTTTTATTTCTAACAATGTACGCATAGTACTGAGACAATACTACTACTATATGACTATACATGGCAATATTTAACAACAAAATAATGATTAATACTTATTGAACCTCCTATGTTTCCTATATTTTATAGTTCACTGATTATT